AAGAGGCAAATACAAAGATCTATTTAGATCTTTAGACAAGTTCATCTTCAAAAGTCCACCAAATCCAATTTCTTGAACATCTAACTTTTGTTTCTCAGATAAAAGACTTATAAAGTAAGTCATTGAAGGTGCACTTGACTGACTAGACACAAATCATCTTCAGTTATATCACTGGAAAAAAAATGAAAATGAAAAAACAAGGGGAAAAATATAAAATAATACATATAATAATTTTATTTACAATGTAATACCTCATATCAAAAAGAGGTTGTGTTTCCAATTTCCTTCTTTTTTAGGCTTTGGAACATCAGATTTAACTTTTTTAACAGGAGATTCTTTTGCTGGTTTTCTGAAAAATTAAATAAAGTGTAAGATAAAATAACGAATAATATCATGAGAACAATAAAGGACATCCTACATACAATACAAGATATCATTGAAACAAAAAAGAAAACATACATGCAATACAAGAATAGACAACATATTTTAATGTCCTTTATCATTAAAATAATAAAGGACATTATATATACAATATAGGATATAATTAAAACAATGGAGGAAATCATCAAGAGAATACAGGACAGTATACAAAGCGTTAGATATAGGACATCATCAAGAGGATAGAGGACATCATATATTAGATAAAGGATAGTATACAAAGAATTAGATACAGGACATCATCAAGAGAATAGAGGACATCATTTATTAAATAGAGGACATCATCAAGAGAATAGAGGACATCATTTATTAAATAGAGGACATCATCAAGAGAATAGAGGACATCAATCAAAGCATTAGAGGATACCATGTACAACAGCAGAGGATATCATGTACAACAATAAAGGACATCATCAAAGCAATATAGGATATCATCAAAACAATATAAAATAAGATCATTACAAAGTGAGACATCAGTAAAACAACAGAGGGTACAGGATATAATGAAATGAATACAGGATATCTACTAAAATAAAAGTAAGGTACTGTAGCATAATGATAATCAGGAAACAAAATATGATATCAAATAACATAATAAATAATATTCATTGACAAAGAATACATATCAGCAAACAAAGCGTTTATATCCTCAATATAAAATACGAATCAACTATTCCGGTGGAGACATAACAAACTTAGTTTCGGTGTTTAACTTTCTCTTCGACGCTTGCTTCGGAGACTTTCTGCCAATCAACAATCAAATTTTCAACACAAGTTTTAAAACACAAGTTGTAATTGAACTAGAAAATGGAAAATTAAGCTAAATAACGTAAAATAAACACAAATTAAATTCAACAATAATAATCAACAATCGATAAAACACAAGTTGTAATTGAATTAGAAAATGGAAAATTAAGCTAAATAACGTAAAATAAACACAGAAATTAAATTCAACAATAATAATCAACAATCGAAGAAGAAAATTGGAATAAAATAAAAAAGAAACCATAAAATAACTTCATCAATAATAACTTCATCAACAATCATCATCAATAATAACTTTATCAACAGAAAAATGAAAGAGCATTTTAGCAACAGAAAATAAAATTAAACAAAAACTGAAAAACCTAAATGAAAATAGAAAATTCAAAAACAAAACGTTCAAATGTATACCTAGAAGCAGAATTGGACTTAGCAGAAACATTATCATCGGAAGATAACGGAGGTAGAGTCGCATTCTTCGACCTCATCGTTGTTGATTTGCGACGATAATAAGTACGACTAAAATCTTTCATAAAACAGCAAAATCAAGAAATTGAAAAGGAAACAAAGATGACGAAGAGTAAGTAAGAATGCAAAGAAGCAAAAATGAAGTACGAGTGAAGAGAAGAAGAAGAAAAATGGAGGAAACTTGAAATTGAAGATGAACAAATGGCGGTTTATTTTGAAAAAAGAAAAAAAGGAAGAATAAACGTTGAGGGAGTTAGTTGGGCTGGAGTAATAGGTGACGCATTGTTGGGCTGGACTATTGTCTTTTAAAAACAAGCCGGGCCAACAAAATTGCTTGAAAAAAAAGCCGGGCCAACAAACCCGTTGGACTGACGAAACGGTTGGTCAGTCAATAGTTTGTGTACAATTAATATGAGTAAAATTCACTTGAGTAGTACTCCGTGCTTTTACATGTGTAATGATAATGATATATGCAAGTTAAAAATAAACATTTAATAAAATTCATGTATTGGCATTAATCATAGAATAAAATCACATATCAATTCATGTATTAACTTTTATAAAAAAGTTAACCCTAAAAGACAAATGAGCTAAAAAAAATAAAATAAAATAATTATTTTCTTTTCTTTTCTTTTCTATTTTTAAACCCCAATCACTCTATGATAATATCTACACATATGGAAGGAAAAGAGAATGTTTTTTTTTTTTTTTTTTTTTCCAAATAAACCTTAAAAATATGAAAACGTCCCGTGATAATGTCAACGCTTAAGGAAGGAGAAATATCACCAAATTGTCCAAATTTACGACATGTCAAGGTCTTGAAGTTGTGACTTAGACTTGTGAGTTGCAAGAAAAGATACTTGGTATTTCCTATTAAGCGGATTTGTTTCCAGAGTATTGTTGTGTTCATACATCTTTTGGAAAACTTTAAATGTACTGTGGAACCTAATTCGTTCTTTCTCCCACCATACTTTTGTGAATTATTCTCTCTTATTGTTGGTTCCTACTAGTATTATTCTCTTTAATTATAAAAGTTCAAGCATACAACAGGAATCTGATGCCATAATATAATTTATATATTTTTTTGGGTGCTAGTAGTAAGAATTTGAAATTTGCAACTAGGCAAAGTAGAATATACCCTTGGTCTTTTAGGTCCATCTAAATTTTAACTTATTTCAAACAAGACAATTTCTTACAAATTCATTGAGATAATTTAAATGAAGTTTGAATAGTTCAAACAAAAGCATTTTTAAAAAGTAAAATTAAATGCCCTATTTTCAGTTATTTCAAGTCTACTAAGTTCATAAAAGATATAGGTTAAAGAGTTAATAACTTAAGATAAATATAGGTAAGATTGTGTCAACAAAAAAAAAATAAAAATAAAATAAATATACGTAAGGCAATATAAGGGCTTTTAAGTTGATAAGATAAGATATAGGTTCATAAGTTCAAATAAGATAAGGATGAATAGTTCCAAAAATCTCGTTCTCAAATACTCGCAATATTTTGATTTACACTCGTATCAATGCACAATTTCATATTAAATATACACAATTATGTATTATGAGTAATAAAATTTACAGAATATGAAAAAATAATATTCGAAAATATACATTAAAACCGATCCAACAACATACGTAGTATTATACAATAAAATTTGATTTTTATACATTAATAAAAAAAATGTAGTCCAAGTTAACATAAAATAGTGTAAAACTCAAATTGTATATTCATGAACGAATGGAGTAACACCTTATACGAAGCCAAATAAGGTCTATTACGGAGTAATTCTTAATAAGGTAAGATATTAGGATAAGAAAATATTTTAGTTCAGAGAAGAAAAGGGCTAATAAGTTTAACAAAGTAGGATAGTGATAATTGAAATTCAAGTAAACACTAACCATTTGCCTTTTTTAAAAAGCAAAGAAACAACGAATTGATCAAACACATTCATTAAGAATATTCGTAAACCAAGTACTCTATAAAAAAAACCTAAAACAACATCAACAAAGTAAACAAAGAAGATTTATTACTAGTGTATGTTAAAGTAACTTCACGTACGCAGTATTGAATTGAAAAAGTGTATCTTGGCATCAAATTCTCAAGTTCTTATCTAAGGCTCACGAATATAAACTGAGTCATTTGTTACCTTTTCCGCTCTTTCCTTCTTTCCTTCCTTCCTTCCTTTTTCAGAATCAGTTCCGTATAATCCTAATTTTGCAATTTTTTTTTTCTTGATCACCAGAATTTAAAAGCAGCAGCAGCAGCAGTAGATAGACATGCCTGAGGAGGACATGAAGCTTATTGGAACCATAGGATATGCCATGCCCCCCAGCAAACTCGAGACAGTAATCCAGCCTTCACTGGTTGCTCACGCTAGAGAGCGAGGAATCCATCTTATTCAAGTCCACATCGATAAGCCACTCGTCGAACAAGGCCCCTTCGATTGCCTTGTCCACAAGGTTTATGGCGATGACTGGAGTGCTCAGCTGGCTGATTTCAAGGTTAAATACCCCACGACTGTCATAATTGATTCCCTTGCTGACATTGAACAGCTCAACAACCGCGTTTCAATGCTCAAACTGGTGAACCATCTCCCTGTTCCTGTTCAACAATCAGACACTGAAGCTTATTCCATTGGAATACCTAAACAGGTAAAGATCAGACTTCGTTATATCAGACTGTAACTCCTTCATTATTCCCACTTTCTTATTCTTGGTGGAATAAGATCAATTAGGTAAACTAGTTTCCAGTTAGATATCCAAACTGTAAGCTGATTATACTTCAACAGGTGGAGATCGCCGCAAATCATGATGCACCTGAATCTTTGTTGACTATAGATGAGTTGACTTTTCCAGTCATTGCCAAACCTCTGTCTGCTAAGTCTCATGAGATGTCCCTGGTGTTTAGCTTACACGGCTTGAAGAAAGTGAAACCACCTATCGTGCTGCAGGAGTTTGTAAACCATGGAGGGGTCCTCTTCAAGGTCTATGTGGCTGGAAACCATGTCAAGTGCGTCAAGAGAAGGTCCTTGCCTGACTTTCATGTTTCTGATAATGCTAAATGTGAAGACCATGAGGATATCAAGTCAATTTCCCAAATTTCAAGCTTTGCTGCTGGCGAAGAAGATGCATTCATAAAAGGGGTTGAAATGCCCTCCATGAAATTCATTCACGGCATAGCAAAAGGACTGAGAGAGGCTTCCAAGCTCCATCTTTTTAATTTTGACATGATTAGAGATACAAGGGAAGGTAGCAGGTACCTTATTATTGACATCAATTACTTCCCCGGTTATGCTAAAGTGCCAGGATTTGAGACCATGTTGACTGATTTCTTTTGGGATGTTATCAACACAAGAATGAAAGTGATGCGGCTCCCACTAATCATGTGGGCAGTGGAAAAGATGAAGGAGACAAAGCGGGGTGTAGCTCAGAGGCTGCGAACCTAGACAATAAGATTTTTGCAAGGAAATGAAAACTGTTTAACTGTAGCGTGTAAAACCATGTAACAGGTCCTTCATTCAGGTTAATTAACAGAACCAGAAAAAAAAAAAAGGTTTTAATAACATACTGAGTATCATGATATCAATAAATAAGGGTGGTTAATATTTATGTTTACAATTAAAGTTTCTAAAAGCTATTTAAATTTAATAACAGTGCATCTACCTGGTGTATTTGCAAAACTGACGATAGTCACCCAGTATTTGTTCTAAAAAATGAAGGAAACGACAATGCATAGCCTTTTCGAATTTGGAGGAGTATGGGTTGCAGTCTTGCAGAGGGGATAATTTTTCTTCCCAGTAGCTCATTTCACATTCTCAGTTTATACAACTTAAATTACAAAAGCTCCAAAAAAAAAAAAAAAAAAAAAAAGCATTAACCAGCACTGGTTAAATGAATTTCATGGTTAGCTTATGATTTATATTACTTCATAATTGCTGTATAACAACAGAAAAGGACCATTCAGTTTAATAGCAACCAAGAACACCCCAACATGATAAATATACCTTTAATATCATCATTTGTTTAGCATCAAAGGAAATTTCAAATGTTTTGGGAAGATCCAAATGAAATTTTTTTGTATAGTGAAAGTACTATTTTAAAATATATGGTATTTTGTGGACTGCAACGTATATTAAGAAAATGATTTAAATTAATCTTCAGAGTAGAATTGTTTGCTAATTTCATAAGCAGTTATAAGATTTAGAGTCTTGAGCAAATAAAAAGGCTCCAACGAGGCGAAAGGGATCCTCCAGCGCCTTATTGTGCCTCATTAAAGTGAGGTGGGCTAAATAAAAAGTAAAAACTTTTGTGAAACAATGTTGGGTGCCTATTGGAATGCTGGTCTAGAGAAAAAGGAGCTAGAACCATGTTTAGTGCCTAAACGCCTAGGCATGCAGATCTGGAGTGTTCTTGTTTCAAAGTTTTGGCCTAATTTGATTCTTGAATGAGAATAATCATAAAATTTAAGGAAATAAGTTAGACAAAACAGATCAAGTAGATGGCTTATCATCAAATCTATCTCTTTAATCTTAAAAACCTAGAAAACAGGGGATAATATCAACACTTGTTCTTAATAGAAAAATCCTTTTCACATGCCAGGCCACCTACATTAAGCGGCCTGGGTGAAAGTTTTTTTTTTTTTTTTTTTTTTGGGGGTGGGGGGGGGGGGGGGGGGGGGGGGGAGGGGTCAGGACCATTACTCCCAAGTCTCACAATGATTGGAGGCTCTCCAAATATACCACGCCTTGTGAAAGGCAGGAGCCACAACCATACAGTAATTTCTAAAGAGGGCAGGGGCGGGGGATGTGGTTGCCATTAGCCTATTAGTAAATGCTTTCCACACACCAAGTTAAACAAAGTTTGTTTGCCAACAAGGGTAGAAATCTTATACGGAATAAAAGGAAATAAGAAGGTTGGGAGGGCAAGGGGACACTGGTATGAAGTGTTAACCTGAGAGCTCAATGTGAAAAATAATAAAGGAGACAACAGAATAATATTACATTATAAATAGATAATGATTCACTACATGAAATTCAAAGTAAAATAAAGTTTACACATGAAGTTCACGTCCCCCCCAAGTTCACCTATAATAGATGTCAACCTATACACTCTACAAAATCTTTCCATGCATGGTACATATCCTACAGCCATATACAAGTATATGCCAAATAGATATTTAAGACACAAACGACCACCACCTGGGTGGTGTCTACAGTGAAGTAGGAAGACCTGCTTCAGCACAAGTCACACGTAATCACTTCCAAAATCTGTCAAACTTGTCCTAATATACTTCGTACTTAGTAATTTGTTCTACAAGTTTGGGACAATTAAAGAAATGTGGGAAAAGTTAAGTCGTCACCAACTCACAAAAACACAAGATTCATCAGATCTATTTACGTCAACAAATAATTATTATATGAGCCACAGGTCAACAAATCAACACCCGCACATCAATTAATGTCATTTCATTTTGCAAAGGCACAATTAGTTCACTTCCGCATGTAAGCAATTTAAGGAACATTCAAAGAGAACTATGATTGATTCATCAGCAGTTCAGCACAATTAATTCATCTTCAAAACAAGAGGGATGCTCTTACCACAAGTTTATTCTCTAGTAGAAGAAGCAATAACTCTCCAGCTTTCTTCTCAACAATTTGAACATTATAATATGCCTCTTTTGAAATATCAAGACTCTGGATTTGAGTTACCAGGCAGAACTTGTATAAGAGCTTTTTTCTCGGTCTGCATTGCCTAAGGCATTTCTGTCTCATTGTATAACATACATCAGCCACAAATTACAATTCAGTTGTAAAGGTTGCTGCAAAGTGCAAACCAACTATCACTTTTGTGAGTACAGATCATAATAGGAAAAGCATAGAGAAACAGGTGATGAACAGAAACAAGGCTAGATCAAATCAATTAGGTTGTGTAGGTATCAGCTAGGTCGGTATCATACTTTCATATAAAAAACTTGTATTAGCTCAAGTCCATCATTACGTACATTTTGTTTGGAGTTTAAGTGAAAAAAAAAAATAAATAAATAAATAAAACTGTTCAGAACCTTACATTTTAAAGATGTTTCAACTCTGACTTCTAGTAGAGTCCTTGTTACATAGGTTCAAACTTTGCACGATGAACCGCTTGAATATTGCATGACTAAAATGAACATATCATTTCTCAAACAATGCCTTTCAACATTAAACAAGATTTTATGATTCAGCAAATAAATTTCTTTACAAGGACTAAAACATCGAGTCTTGGTAAAAGCCACTCCTATCGACGACAAAATTTTGAGTCTAATTATTACATACCTAGAGTCCAGAGAGATAAATTTCATCAATCACCATAGAATCAACCTTTCAAACCTACATACGCAAATAATAAACCAAACAATTTACTTAAACATAAAAAATATTATAATGACCATCCTCACAAAGCCGAAGAAATGCCCGGTTCCTAATCCTCACCAAATAACAGTCAATCACAAATCACAAACAATGATCATTTCCAGCTCGAGTTTCGCAATTCACACATCCAAAACACAATTTATGAGCTCAAAACACCCAGAAACAATTAGAGGCTCCCATATTTCAAACAAGCAATTTCAAACACAATTCAAAACTGCAATGCCCTAGAAATCAAATTCCATAAATATACACCCTAATTCAGAAATGTGTATAAACAACTAGAACTTCCACATTTTATAATTCATGCAAACAACAATAAATCACCAAAATTTCTTTCAATCTCACCCCCTACAAAAAAACTTCACAATAAAAAAAAAAAGGGAACAGTTGCAATTAATCACAGGAAATTGTATAAGACAAGATGAAATCAAGAGAAGAAAACTTTAAATTTGAGCTGAGATAGGTTCGATGAACCTCACCTGAACTCATAACAGCAGCTCCAATCAACCAAAGTACCAATTTTTGATCGAAAAAGAGATTGAAAAGAGTGAATTTACAAATTCTAATTTTCATTTTGCTTCTATACCTGTCACAGTTAATTTGAGTATGGGATTGATCAGCTGATAAAGCGGGGATTTTTATTTGTCACGGGGTGTTCTCTTCACCTAATGTTGCTTATGTTAGTATTATATCATTGGATTAGAATGTATTACTCCGAACTTGACCTTGTCGACTTGAATATATTAGTTTGAATTTGACCTTATTTGAATTTATTAGACCAGTAAAATTACAATTATATAAATATAATAACACGATGAACTACATAGTATATGTTCTTTGACATCGCATATATCTCCATCACCAAATCTTATGGTATTAAAACCTTTCGATGATAGTAAGCATGTTTATTGAGGTCATGAATACTTTTCAATCAAGTAAATGCGTTGTGAGGTTTTCTCAAGTAATATGATATCAATCTTATGGATACAAACATAACTGAACCGCTTAATTTTCTCTGTTGATACGGAGTACTTGATAGTAACAACGTAACTAGTACTTTGATAACGAGTCAAGGCAAAAATAAATTAAAAACATCATATCCATTATTAGTTATATTATAGCAACAAACTACCAAAGTTTCTCAGACATAAAGCTGATCTATCTTTGTGATTCAAGTACTACTACAATTTCTTAACTTCCAACTCTAATGAGCTCATCTTAATCATGATAATTCATGACTTAATTCTATCTAAATTAAATCACAGAAAGTACAAAATATATTAAGCAAGTTTTATGTCATTGCTACGAGGAACCACCGAGCAAGCCAATGGTTTGTTCATTTCAAGTGAAAGCCTCAAGCGCTCCGAAAGATCCACGGAGGCAATTGGGGATGGGAACCACTTAAATTGGTGAAGCATTCGGGCTAACCATAGATGGATGGTGGCCAAGCCCAATGCCCTTCCAGGGCACACCCTACGGCCTGATCCAAATGGTGCAAGTCTTAGATCCGAGCCCATGATCGAAACATCCTCATTGATGAACCTCATGGGGTTAAAAGCCCATGGGTCAGCCCATATGGTTGGGTCATGGGTAATAGCCCACATGTTGACCATTGCCGTTGTGCCTGCTGGAATATTAACCTTGTCGACATGGACATCGTGGATTGCTAACCGAGCCCATGACAGCAGAGGACCCGGCGGGTGAAGCCTGAGGACCTCCTTGACTATGGCTTGAAGGAAGGGTAGATGTTGGAGATCCGAATCTTGGACTTGCCTCTGGCTGTTACCAATGCACAAGTCTAGCTCTTCTTGAGCCTTTGCTTGGACATCTTGGTGTAGCACAATTCTAGCCATGATCCATTCAAGAAGTGTGGCTACTGTGTCAGCTCCTCTAAAGATTGTTTCCTGCAAAAGTTATTATCTTTGATCAATTATTGACATATACTATATGGTTCTTGTGACATAATCAGCACCCCAAAAATGAATCTTGTGACCCAAAAAAAAAAAAAAAAAAAAAAGGTAAAGGTTCTAATATATATGCACAAAAAGTTAATATAAAGTTAAGCACTATACAAACGGCTCTAGAAAAGTCTAATATATGCAGCATTATTTGTTTTAAAATGGGGTTAAAACATGTGTATGCCAATTCTAATAATAGGAGCTACAGAAGAAAAGGAAAATGATGAAAAGCAACAAGGGTCAACTAGTTTCAAACTATGAACACATATCTCAACTATAATTTATTTACCACAGATTTGGAATTAAAGGTAAAGTATCAGAAAATGATATACTTGACAAAAATATCCAAGAAGCATGAAAGAAAGCATATGGACACAGGACACCTGTACCATATTTTGGACAGAATGAGACCCAATGACAAATCATAAGAAAAAGAGATCAAAAGACTACCAACTTTAGATTACCTCATGATTATATGCGTTACACTTCACAAGTAAAACAAAGTTAGCATAAATGCATAATTGCATAAAGGATGGTTATCTATGATATGGTTTAGATATACTCTCTATGTCCCATATTACTAATTTAAATTATACACGTAATTTGATAATTATAAAGTTTAGACGTTTAATTATCCTATCAATATGCGTACTTAATTGCAAATCTGCAATGCATGGTTTTACCAGAACCTCATATTTTAAATACGTAGTATGTAATTTGTTAATTACAAAGTGTGGTAAATATATATTCTTACCCATAAGACAGCCACCATATCAGAATGACTTAGTTGTTCTTCTTCAGGCAAAGATAGCAACACACTTAGGAAGTCATTTCTCTTCTTAAAGTTAACATCTTTTTCTCTAAGTTTGATGATATGACTTAGAAGTTCACTGACCCTGTAAGCTAACTTATGACATCTCCTTTTTACTCCATAGAAGTCCAAAAAACCGAAAGGAAAATATTCCTCCAGATTGAATTCAGAAATTAACTCATAACCTTCCCTCACCATTAACCCTAACTCCTTCCCTTCACTACCCAAGTGACTCCCGAAAACACTTTCCAGCATGTTCTTCAAAGAGATTCCCAGTAATATCCCTCTCAACTCCACGAATCCTCTACCCTTCATCTCCTTCAACACATATACTGACATTGCATCAGCTAGGCATTGTCGAACCCCTTCAAGGCTCGATATTCTCCTAGGAGAGAACATGTGATTTGCCGATATCCTCCTCAGATGGCGCCAGTAGGTGCCATGAGGAGCAAACCCAATGGCTCGTTCAAACATCAGCAAACGAGCAGAAGGTTTTATGGGACGGTCTGAGAATGAAGGTGAGCATAAGATTTCCCTGGCAGTTTCAGGGTGGCTACTTATGATCACAGGTGTGGCGCCCAAGCTCATTGCCATGAGCCTAGTGCAGCCCATGGAAGCTGCTATATTGGCTAGTTTACGATGGGCTAAAGAACCCATCTGAGGCAATGTCCCCAACACAGGCCAACCTGACGGCCCCCTCAGTTTAGGGACCGAATTCAGGTTGTAACTTCGCCATGCAAAGCCTCCGGGGACCAACCATAAGTGTAGTAGACAGTAGAGCAAGAAAGATAAGACGAGAGCAAAGAAGGTTTGTTGGGTGGTTTCAGGACAAAGGGGTAGTTTTAAGAGATAAGCCAGCATGGTGTTCATAGTGGTAAATCACTAAGCTTTTCTGAGGTAGTAGAATTGTCTGGAGTTGTGACCTTTTTTTTGGTTGAGGATATCAGGGTTGGATGACACATATATATAGCAAAAGATGATATGCTACAGTAAGTAAAATAGAGGTTAAGGTGGTTAGTTGGAGTTAAGTCTACAAATAATTCAATAAACTACAATTAGTGATTATTAGTAGTAATTTTTAATACTATATATCAAAAATATGTGGACTTAATCCTAGCTACGAGGTATGCCATTGACCGATGTTCCTCTCTCAATACTTAGTGGGGATCTACCAATCACTCATTAACTAAAACTACCTTCTTTTTTCAAGTGCACCCTCATAAAGACAGTCTGATTTAGAATACGACCAAGCAAAGGCCTGCAGGATGGACATAATTTAACACTAATCCTTTTGCCTTGTCTAATCAGAAAATTTTCGTTTTTAATCATGCACATGGACTGGATTCCTATATTTGCTACAAAGAAACTTATAGAGTTAGGGGGTATGTTTACCACCCCTTATTATTTGTTGCCATTGCAATACCTCCTATGCAGCTATGCTCACTGAGTCACTGCGGCGGCATACTATTTTGGCAACTGATTGTAAGTTTCCCTACCCTATAAATTCTGGTTTGCAACTTTTATATAACCACAATCAGCATGTAAATTTCTAGTTTGTCACTGACCCCTCCCCCCACTGCTGCAGTACTTTTGTTGCCTGGTAACTCAAATACCTATGTCGATCTTCAACACTTGGACATGGGTATGTACACTTGTCACTTCATTTAGGACCATGATATAAGAATTTTTTGTTATTAAATATTAAATCAGACAGTTGGAAATGGGCCTGTCTACTCTAACATGTAAGAAATTCTTGAAAATAAAAATTAACTACATGCAAGCCGATACAGGTGCCACAAAATAGAATACAAAGACCAGGAAAAATTCAAGGATTCCACTATAAAAACAGACCATGAAACGATCACAATGGGCCAAAAATAATTTTATTTCAACATGTTGTCTTGCAAACTAACCTTCATGCCTATTATCAATGAAAAGAAAGAGCCTATATGTGTCTTGTAGTCAACTATATTTGGTGCAAAAATGTGTCAAAATTGTTTTCCTAAGACAAGGAAAATAACAACATCCATCTAATTCCCTCTATCCGGACATCACATGTAACCAAAAGATGATGATTTTATGCATGTAACCAACACAGAGAAAACTTCAGAAACTATGAATCATGTATTAGGATAGAAGGCAAATAGCAAATCGAACCTAGACAATTAGCCAATATTTAATATCACTTAACATGAATTCACAGCTAGTGAGAATCCATGCTGAAAACCTACAACAAAATTCTATTGCCCTTGCTTTTGATCGTCTTGCCACCTTCCCAAAGTAGGTTCTTAAATGGGACTTAGAAAACTGGATGCAGAAGACATGATAAGGAAAGTTGATTTTGAATTGTGAAACACAATAGAGACATGCAATATTACTTTATTAAAAAAAAAAAAAAAAGAAAAGGGTGAATTTTAAGGTGGCTATACAATCCATATTTATTTATTTTCTAGCCATGTTTAGAATTTTTGTTTAGTAGACCATGGATATTGGTGCATAACTGCTAATCTACGCTATTTGTTGTGTATTTGTGTTTCATCTCAAGTATCTAGGTCCAAAACTTGACACTTCATTTGGGACTGGAAAAAAATGAAAATATTCCCTAAAAATTGATCGAGTCTGACTCTTGGACACATACTCATGTCCTACACTTGTAGCTGAGTGATCAAGTCTGGGGTAACATATATAAAAGAACACAGCTCACAATTAGTTCATAGAGCTAGAACAATTAGAAGTGAAGGGGTAAAACACTTTTGCGATTCTGGGGATACTAAATGGATTGTATAGAGAACAGGATAATGCCTTTTGAGGCACCATTAAGATAAAATGAGCCTTCTTCTATTCCCAAAGTAGGCTTAGGGCCAAAAAATATTACTAAATCCGTGCTATACCAAAGTTATTCCTGAGTCGGTAAATTCTATAAAATAACTCAAAGCATAGCATAGGAAGGATTACACATGAAAGTAGCAGAACATAGCAGAAATTTTACAGGCCTTTGATATGCCATAAAAAGAAAAAAGATAGAAAATATTAAGAAAAGTAT